TAACCGACTGCGCCACCCAGGCGCCCCTTAAATTTTTTTTTTAATGTTTATTTATTTTTGAAGGAGAGAGAGGCAGAGCAGGAGCAGGGGGAGAGCAGAGTAAGAGAGAGACACAGAATCCGAAACAGGCTCCAGGCTCTGAGTTGTCCACACAGAGGGGGCTCGAACCCACAAACTATGAGATCATGACCTGAGCCGAAGATGGAGGCTTAACCAACCGAGCCACCCAAGTGCACCCCCCCCCCAATTGTTTTTCTATAGCACAGCACTGGGCTAGGCAGCCAAGATTTGGGAGGGAGGAAGATGACTATCCCTGTATATCCTGTACCCCAAATCCTGTTTCATTTTGTATTTACGTCTTAAGACCCATTTTCAGGGAGCAAGAATGAATGAGAAATCATTCAATTATTCAATACCTAGGATAGCCAAGGGAGACCTAGGAAAGCTACTACATTGCATTATGGTGCTGCAGAAGCATCATGTAACAAGGTCAGACCGGAATCTGGCTCTGCCCTAGAATTACTTTTTGATCTTAGCAAAACAACAACAAAAAACCCCACCTATCTTGGCCTTTTAGTGTTCTCAGTTTATAGTGGAGATAATGCCTCTGCCTTACTTTCGAGGGATAAATGAGATGATCCCTGTAAAATGCTTTGAACTCCTCTAAGAAAATTCTCAATAATAGTTACAGGTCAAATCCTGTTACAAAAAAAAATACCCTTACAAAAAAAAAAAAAAAAAAAAAAAAAAAATACAACAAAGGCTTTGTGTTGAAAAGATTCCCAAACTCCAACCAGTGGTTTACTTCATAAAAGAAATATTTGATATGACGTTTCAGTACAACTAAGGAATTTAGACCATCTCTTAAAGATCATTATAGAGAAATTTATTTATTCACAGGTTAGAAGGCTATTGAGGTAGGAATGCTGCAAATTGAGGTAATGACATCAACTCAACATTTATTGATTTTGCTACATTTGTGTACTGTGAGCCACTGTGGAAGGAAGACCCAGATGAATACAGCATATGGTTCCTACATTTTGTGTTCAGAATTGTGTTAGACGTGTTTGTAACTTCTTACTCTTTAACTATTTTTTAACCATTCCTCTGTAAAGCTGAGAGTTTTTCCACATGACCTAGTTTTTATGGGAGTATTAAAGGCACAAAAAATTATTTCATTAACCCAACATAAGTCAGTGTTAAAATCCACCCTCACACAAACGTAACTTACTCTTCACCCTATGTTACCTTTATTGATGGAAAAATTAAACTATCACTTAAAAACATTAAGTCACCCTCTTTCACATGCAAGCTAGAGATCAAGTGAGCTGTTTGAACTGGAATTTATGGTGTAATGATTTACCATACATACATACATATATACATAAAAGCCAAAGTTACTCAGTATGGAGAAAGGCAAAGCGAAAATGGGAAATGGGCATATAATCTGTTATGTGGTGGTAATGTGTACCCCTAAAATCCTGAGCATGAAAAAACAAGAAACAAAAAAACAAAAAACTATAGTCTTTTTTTTTTTTAATTTTTTTTTCAACGTTTATTTATTTTTGGGACAGAGAGAGACAGAGCATGAACGGGGGAGGGGCAGAGAGAGAGGGAGACACAGAATCGGAAGCAGGCTCCAGGCTCTGAGCCATCGGCCCAGAGCCTGACGCGGGGCTCGAACTCACGGACCGCGAGATCGTGACCTGGCTGAAGTCGGACGCTTAACCGACTGCGCCACCCAGGCGCCCCCAAAAAACTATAGTCTTAACTCAGAGAGGTAGCTAGATGTTTTATTCTCAAAATTTTGGGGCAGTGCGGGGGGGTACTGAATACTTTTTAAAAAATCAACTATGGCTGAAAGATGGGTTTATAATGAAAGTAAATGAGTGTGGAGCCTATTTAGGATTCTCTCTCTCTCTCTCTCTCTCTCTCTCTCTCTCTGTCTCTCTCTCTGTCTCTCTCTCTCTCTGTGCCCCTATGTGTGCATGCTCTCTCTCTCTCGCTCTTGCTCTCTCACTCTCTCTCTCTAAAAAATAAAAAAAAATAAAGAGGATTTTTAAGATACAAATCTCTTTGTGTATGTCCATGTAAGTGACGTGCACAGTAGCAATTATTGCTGTGATAGGTAGAACATAACGTATGCTTAGGTTTGTAAAAACACTAGAATTGTGTGTTCTGTCCATTCTCATACACATAGGTAGCAGTTTCAGACAGGAGCCCATGTACCCACTGGTGAAGCACTCAGAGCCCCAATCTTTAACTTTAGGAGTGAGCAAATTTAACAGGGAAATTAATCTGAGATGAATTAGAGAGAAAGAGATTATTTTGTGAATGACAGTTTTCAATGTCAAACACTGGCTCAGATGCTCACCATTATTCCTGTTTAATAAGAGCTTATATTTATTAAACACTATTTATCAAGCACTATTATAAGAGCTTTCAATGTATTGTCTTATTCCTATCAACAGTCACATGAGGAAGATGCTATGAACCCAGTTTTTTGCAGGAGATGAGACTAAGGCCTGTGGTCACATGGTTCCTAAGTGCCAGTCTACCCCCAAAGCTATACTCTGAACCATGCCTATGCCATACACAGCAGAAAATGAAATAAGGCATTGAATTCAGGGTCCTCTAAGATCCCTTGCAACTGATAAAGACACACTTAATAATATTATACTTTACCTCAGACCATCAAGCAGTTCTGGTTTCTAAGTAAAAACTGCTTCTAAGCATTAAAGTAGCTCCTTTCATATCTTCATTATTTTTTTTATTTAAATAATTTTTTAAGTTTACTTATTTTGAGAGAGAGCACAAGAAGTGGAGGGGCAGAGAGAGAGAGAGAATCTCAAGCAGGCTCTGCAGGGTCAGCATAGAGCCTGATGTGGGGCATGAACCCACAAAACTGTGAGATCATCACCTGAGCCAAAATCAAGAGTAGGATGCTTAACCAACTGAGCCACCCAGGCACCCCTCGGTTATTTTTTAAGAGTTCACTATGTGGACCAACAACCTCTTAGTGATATTCATAGTCTTTCTGCAAAACTTCAAAGGGATTTGTAGGAACTAATCTATCCTGCAAAAAGAACATTTAACCAAAGTTTAATAATTTGCTTCATTTTCTTCTGTTAAATATAAGTAATGATGTATGTATGGCATATATTACAGGAGCCTTTTTTGTAAATTTATCCTTATTTGTAAATTTGCAAACAGATTTTGTGAAGTGATGTTAATAATGGTTATTTCTATGCCATATGATCTAGTAATTCCACTAGGTATTTACCCAAAGGAAACAAAACACTAATTTGAAAAGATATATGTATCCCTATGTTTATTTCACCATTATTTACAGTAGCCAAGATATGGAAACAACCTGAGTGTCCATCAATAGATGAAGAAATAAGGAAGATGTGGTATATGTACACACACACACACACACACACACACACACACAAAAACACACAGAGGAATATTATGTAGTCATAAAAAAGGATGAGATGATACCATTTGCAACACCATGGGTGGACCTAGAGGGTATTATGCTAAGTGAAATAAGACTGAGGAAGACAAATACCGTATGATTTCACTCTGAAATCTGAAAAACAAATGAATAAACAAAAAGTAGAATCAGACCTATAAATACAGAGAACAAACTGGTAGTTGCCAGAGGGGAGTGGGGAGGGAGTTGGGCAAAATGGGTGAAGGAGAGTGGGAGACACAGGAATGTGGTAAGTCGCAGGAATAAAAGGCACAGCATAGAGAATATAGCCAATGACATTGGAATAGCGCTGTATGATGACAGATGGTAGCAACAATTGTGTGAGCATAGCACAACGTACAAAGAAGTCAAATCAGTATGTTGTACACCCAAAATTAATGTAACATTATGTGTCAAAAAGTTTTTTGGAAAAATAATGGTTATTTCTAGGTAATAGAATCTTTGGATTTTACTTTGTACTTCTTTGTAGTTCTTGATTTTTTAATAAGAAGCACATATCACCTTTACAAAATCAACAGAGTCTCTCAA